AAATGCTTAAAAGCTTATAAACACACTTTAAACAAACTTAAACCCTTGATTAAATCTTTCTTAAACTTGTTTTAAAACTCTCTTGGATAACTTTAAAAGACATCAGCAATGGGGTATATATACCCACTAGAAATCTCAGCAAAAAAAACACCCAAAACAAAAGACCAAAAGACCCAGCCAACGGTACAAAAACTAGCCGTTGGAAACAGAAAAAGCCATCGTCGGTCGACCGGAAATTCTGTCGGTCGACCGATGGAAAAGTTCGGTCGACCGACGGAAAATTCGGTCGACCATTATCCAGGTCGAAAACGAGAAACCAAGCAGGCCTTAGCCGGTCGACCGGTGCGGTCGACCGATGGAGCTTTTCGGTCGACCGGACCCGACCAACTCTTTGGACCATGCTGACGAAAGAACAAATGAGCGGTCGACCGGTGCGGTCGACCGAGTACTGATACTTCTGAAAACTGTTTTTCTGATTTTAAAACGCTGTTTAAAAATATCAAATAAATTCCAAAAAATGTAAAACTTTGGGGAATGATTGTAGACATGATAATAAACATGCTACAACGACTGGTTTCGAAAAAGGACTTCCCAAATGAAAAATATCATCATTTTACAAAATAGTCCAAAACATGAAAACCTGAAAATTGATATTTTGATATTTTGACTTAAACAACATTTTGAAACCTTATGAAATGATTGTATAGACTTGATAAAAGATATAACATGTTGTTATGAAGTCTATAACCTAGAAATACAATATTTTCATGAAATTGCATATTCTATGCAATATATTCAAAACACTAAATATGATTTCACTAAATATAAGCTTGTTAAAGATGAAATCATATATAGGCATATAAACATGAAACAAAATAGTATTTTCCAATATGAAATCATATATATGCATATGAGTATGAAACAAAAATATGTTTTCTAATTATATTCAATTGTTTCATAGTAAAACTTGAAATTATTAAACCAATAACATATATGTATATATATAACTATATATATACAAAAACCAAAACGTGTATGTGTGTATATGATTGAGCTTAAAGTACTAACACACATAATATAAAATCTAAACTAAATTACCCAAGCTTGATCTTGATCTTCATTGAGCTCAACTTGGTACACGTTGCGGGTGAAGCTAAACTTGGATCTTGAACTTGAATTGTACGATGCTTCACTCCACAATTCCGCCAACCTCCATTTGATATCGTCGTTATGGCGCAATCCATCCATCCTCCAACTTGGTAATCTTGTGGATGAAGCTTTAACTTGGATCTTGAACTTTGAATAGCAAGGCTTCACCGTTATTCCGCCAACCTCCATTGGATATGATCGTTGAAGCTCTATTCCATCCATCCTCCAACCACGTTGTTTGTCTACAATACATAGGAAAATACAAATA